AGGACCAAACTGACAGCACAGAGATTACCAAAACACTTTCATGACAGATAGATGTGTTCACAAATTATGCAGCTTTTTTGTTCTGTGGTAGAAATGGCACAGTCCAGGAAAGTGAGATGGATGAGCGTGGCAGCTCATTATGTGACCTCCCTGTCCTACTGCATGGAAGGTGGCTCAGTCCAGAATTGAGCAGGTCAACATAGCAGGTCCATCTGGGTCATGTGTGTGGCTGAAGTGCTGGATCCCCCGGATTTCTCTTTGGTTCACTTGTCTGGAAGCCTTTATTTGCCATTGAGTCTCTTGCATGTCTCTGTGGTCTCTCCCCTGACACAATCAATTATGGGATTGAGAATGCAAGTCGATCAACATGTTCAAATTCACTTAATGCCAACAACTGTCAGTTGCTGTCACTGGTGCTCACAATCTGCACTTGTCAAAAATACTCATTATCTTTTCAGTGATGTTTTTACATTGATTAACAGGTTGTTTCTGCCAAGTGAACCACTGCTGTTATAACCAAATTTGAAACAGGCTCATCCTATGCCAGCTAACACACTGGACCAAAACAGGATAACTTTTGTTCAGAAGCCAGTAATTTTGTCACTGTGATCATGCAATATGTTTGCTACACTTAGACATTTTAGTACATCTGAGCCTTCTATTCTTCTATATTAATTTAATAGATGTCAAGTCAGATTTCCTTCTGTAGTACAGTGACAGGCCTTCTGGATAGAGGAAATAGCACAGATATTCTATATCTTGATTTTAGTACTGACTTTTACAGCTTCGTAAGCTCAGGAAATGTTATCTAGATGCCACCAGTTTATGAAGAGCTGCAACTGTGTTTGAAGGTAGTACTAATTGAGACCAATAAGATCAAATTAAAGAAATAGCTGGAAATGTATAGGAATTCATCCAGCAAGGAAAAGGGCATTTATGAAAATAAAATTATCCCTTGTATCAGTGTATGAAATAAAAAATTTGGTTAAATTAAACATCTTGGCCTTATAGTGGGTAGCAGACTAAATTTGAGTTTCATTGTAATAAAAAAAACAAAACACCACAACAAAAAAAAAACACACAAAAAACCAAAAAAGTTTTTCTCCAATTGCTTTTTAGTTAGACACTGTATTATGGAATTAGATCACAGGAACAAAAATTCAGGTTTTGTAATAGGGAAGCTACGTAAGTACAAAGTGGAAAACCTCTTACTTAGAGGGGTTTTTTTAAAGAATGGATTTTACAAACAGGATCTATCTTCTACATAAATCTCCTTGTAGGTTCCCTCTAAAGATTTTTAAAAATGCATTTCATAGGTGGTAACTTCTTATGGAGCAGCGGTAAATGGTTTTGCAAGCTGAATCACCCATTCAGGCAGTAATGTCACATGGATAGCTAAAATCATGATTAGTAGGCAAGCATCATCATATGTTACCTGAATGCTTTGGTATGTTTGTGGTACTTCATTGTCAGCTGCTACTCAATATGAAATTGAATATACACATGTGGAAATGCTCTAATGGACATAATTCATTTCCACAGAACTATGGTGGAAAGATCTGCTTATCATCAGTGTGAAACCAGGGACCTCAACATTGCTTTGGTTTTTAGACAGCAGACCAAGTTAACTGAAGAGCATAGGAGAAGCAGCATCTCTGAATTAATGTAGACATTTTCCTCCCCTTTGTACATGGGAGCTCCACAGATACTACAGTCCTTCTCAGACAGTTATAGAATGCATCTTATAGAGGCTTAAGGCAATTTCAGCCAAAGAATTTCTTAAATTACATGGTCTTGCTTGAACTCAAGATTATGTATCCATTTGTAATGCTTCATATAACTGCAGCTTCAGTCTCTTTGATGCAATAATTTTACTCCAGTGTTCTCTGGCTATTATCCACTTCTAAAGCAGTGACCTTTGTTCAAATGGAGTATGGAATGCATGCCAGAGTGGTAGTATGCGACTGGTAGGGACGTCTTATGATAGAAGGAAAGAGGCACTTCTAAAAATGTTTTGGTTCAATGGTATGATGCATATTTAAACACCCTTTTAAATGCCTTCTTTTTTCTTCTTTCATTGGAAACAAAGTATACATTAGGCCAAGAGGATGAGCTAAACCTAGGAAAAACTCTGTGCTGAATTTCAGGGACTGTTTTCTCTCTTTTGACTATTGGACAGCCACCTTTATCCACCTGAACTATGATGATGATTTTTTATTTTTTTATTTTTTTCTCCTGTCAGTTACAGGCAGCTTTGATCACAAAGGAGAACCAAGGAGAATGTTTCAGATATTTCCAGAGCTCATATCCTATTCTGTAATTAACATGTAGAATGGAAGAGTTTACTTTCAGAGCTTGTTGTTAGCAGATGTAATGTTAGTAATCCAGGTGTTTCCTCCTATCCAGCTGCTGTAAAATTATGTGCTTAAAGATGGAAAAGGAGACAAGAAAGATGCCTGATTCTAAACTAAAAGTACAGCAATGTGGCTGTGTCACAGTATAAACACACTGACTACATGTGTTTATAAAAGTTGTATACATGCTTTTCTTAAAGGGTACCTTTGGTCAGACTGTGAAATATTATTAACTTGAAAAGTTTCAAAAATTGACAACTCAGACATGATTTAGCCAATCCTACTATGTTCCATTTGCTCTAACATCAGCAGATCTTGATTACTCCCTACGGATGAATATAATTCAGATGGAGTAGAAGAAAACTTTTATAATGCCTTAGTGTATACCTCTAGTTTGAGGTAAATTTCTTAGGCTGTTACAATGTTAAACACAAATGATAGAGTAGCCAGTAAAAAGAAAGGCTCTGCTGGGCCTCATACTTACAAATACGGAAGAACTGTTTGGGGATATAAAGGTCAGAGCAACCTTGGCTCAGATGGAAGAGTCAAGGTGCCTATGAGGAGACAGCAAGGCAGAAAGCAGGAGCACAACCCTGGACTTCAGGAGAACAGATTTCGGCCTCTTCAGGGTGTGCTTGGAAGAATCCCGTAGGAAACCATGCTGGAAATAGAGGTCTAAGGAAGCTGGTTAATTTTCAACGATCACCTTCTCTGTGCTCAAGAATGGTCTGTCACAATGAATAGGAAATCAAAGGCAGCCAGAGGCTGTCATTAGTGAATGACAGGGAACAAAAAAGGAAGGTAGAACCAAGGCAAATGACCCAGGAAGACACGGATAAACTATTTAAATGCATAGGATTAGGAAAGCCAACACCCAGTTGGAACTGAATCTGGTTAGTGACATGAAGAAAAGCAAGAAGGGTTTCTGCAGGGCTTCAGGGCTGTATCAACAGCAAAAGGAAGACTATGTAAAATATGGAACTACTCTTGAGTAGGACAAGGGACCTGGTGAAAGAAGGTGGAAGAGGCTGCTTTACTGAAGGTCTCCTTTGTCTTTACCAGTAACACTGGTCTTCAGGAATCCCAGAACCCTGAAATCACTTTACAAAAGTAGTGCTTCTGTAATGAATCACTGAGTCCAAAGAGACACATGAATACTGTAGGTTGGCAACTATCCCTGTTCTAATGAGTCAGACACCTGTTGGATAGTTTGGGCTCTGTGTGTGAGCCTGTGTGTGTGTGAATATTTGTGTTGCATCTAATTATAATGTGTATGTGGTTTTAGTACCATATCCTGTGGTTAATCACAAGAAGGGGATAGTTTAAGTTATTTAAAGATTTTCAAAGGCTATTTTAGAGGCTCCTTATGTTAAGGAGTATAATATAGGTATAACCTGACCACTGAATAAGTTTAGAATGAAAGTTAAAAGAAAGCTGTATTGTATATATAAGAATTCTGAAAAGCTTAGGAACAGCTTTTTAAAACACAAGACAGGTAGCTGGATTTATGATAGACTATATTAACCTTAGGGATATGATTTTAGAGCTTGGGTTCCTCTCAGGAGCAGGGGCTGACTTACATATCAGAGGAGATCCAGCATATTTTTCCTAGTATGAAACAGTGATTGTGTCTTCATGTTTTTCATCATAGTTTATACACTTTATTTCTGAATTATTTTATGGCAGAAATTATCTACTAGATTGAAAATTATTTTTATAGTTTTCTATTTTATATTCTTTGCTAAAATAATTTAATCACTGTTTCATGTAAATACACTGCATATATAACAACAAAAATATTGTTACGTGAGACTAAAAAGAAACTAATTGTCAAGAAGAGGCCTTGAAAAAGTAAATAATAGAATTACTATAGAAAAAACAACTCCTAGCAGAATCTGTACAAATACTTAAGAATCTATGAGACATAGGCTTGAAGTAGGTAGATAAGGTTAGGACTTTTAGAGTGGTTCTTGCAGGCATGAAAAATAACAAGGAATAACACTGTTAATTGTTCTGTACATTTTCGTGGTAATTGGCACCATTTACAGCTTCTAAATTTTAAATTATAATGTATTCATTGAAATTTAACTGACAATTGAACTGAGAGTTGAAATGAGTGTCAATCTTTTGAAGTTTTCATCCTATGGAACCTATATGCCCATATAAAAGCATTACTTTAAAAATAGTGATTCAAACTTGATGAAAAATAGGGGGGGGGGGGGGGGGGGGGGGCAGTGTTGTTTGCTTGGTTTGGTTTTTTTGTTTGTATCTGCTCATTTCAAAGGATAACTGCACTTCCACAGGATATCATTGGTAAATTGTGCAGAGATTTAGTTTTTCTGTCTGATCAGATCCAATCCTAAATAGCTTTTCTTCTGTAAATTACTATCTTTACTAAATAAGCAAACATACTACTTCTGCACAGTTTAACTGGTTGTTAAAATAAAAGTTGTGTTTTCTGTGGCAAGATCAAATGACTCCTGCATTTACAAATATGTTTGGTTTTCAGATTACTGTCAGCTATTCTGGTTTAATATTTGTGATGTTTGATATTTACGTTGCAGCTTTGTTGCCAGGATGATGGGCCTAATTACCCTAGAGATGCAGAAATAATTAGATAACTTTGTTTGTAATCTTTCCCGGTAGGATTTTGGAGATGATGGGTCCTTGTACATTACTAAGGTTACCACAACTCATATGGGAAATTACACCTGCTACGCTGATGGCTATGACAAACTCCATCAAACTCATATTCTGGAAGTGAATGGTAAGAAAAATTTTCTAATCACGAAACCCTAAGAGACCTTGACTTGAATTTTGTTGTGCAGATCTGTTCTTCTTGGTTTACTCTTTTTATGTTGTTACATCTTAACAGAAAAAGATACAATTGTTTTTCCATATCATTCTCCTATAAATAACCTTGCAAAACTTTAAAACATAATATTTTAAATATAATATTTTTCATTTATTACTTTTGTATGAATAAGCATTATTAAAAGGAGTAAAGATAATCCAGAGTACTATATTTTTTAGTATTAATTTAGTAATTTTGAAGAACACACTTGAAAAAATAAGTGCACAGGTATGTTGTGTTATGAACTTAAAAAAAATGCACTACCCTAAAAAAAGTGGTAATTGATATGGTCTTCTAAATTTATTATTTTGAAATCTAATTTTTATTTTAGTAGATTAGGCATCTGGATTTGATTTTACATTTTTGTACATCTGTTAAAGTTGTTAGGACCACTTTCTTGAGCTCTGTACTTAGACAAAACTTAAATGCAGTTGTTACTGGTGCCCTGATGACAGCCCTTTCCCTTCTTGTTAACTGTAGTATCCTCTCCTAGATTTTTCACTTATATATATTATTTTTTTCTAAATTATTTTAAGCAGTTGTTCTCCTCCACTGATGAAGAGTTCAGGGATCCTAGTGTGCTTTATCCCCAGTGAGGTTTAATGCCTTTTGTTGTTTGGGTGACTTAGTGCTTTCCTTCATTTTCAAAGTTCATGTTTATTTTTGACTTTTATGTCTGTCTTTCCACAGTAAACTGTAAGTGTTTGTCATCCATGTTGATATTTAATCCTATCCAGAAAGCTGTTTGAACTCAATCTTCTCTTGCAAATTTACTTTACATTAACGGGCTCCAAGTTTCTGCTAAAGTGTATTATAGATCTAGTTTCTTGGCCCCTGCTGTTGCCATCATTCCTTTTTTTTTTGTGTTAATTGTTAGTCAGTTGCATAAACTCTTATTAAAATTGACTTTTGTTGACATCTCCTATCCAAAAATGCTGAAATATTTTCTGATATTCATATCTTTTATTGATATTCACAGAAAGCAAAACTTCCAAGATTATTTTACTCTCCTAACATGGTTAATTCTACCTTTAATAACATGGGCTTTTTTCCACTTTCTGTTGATAACATTCTTCTCACTTTAAATGACCTTGATGTTCAGTGCTATTTTGCAGGTTTTTTAAACATGTTTCTGCCACTGTGTTTCTTCAGGAAACTGGTTTGGAATATCTATTTATCCAACTCTTTTAATTTTTTTTGCCATTTTCTCCCACCTCCCCTTTGTAAATAGAATGTCCTTCCTGAGCTAATACATGACTTCAATGCCTTTTCCTCCTTCAAATTTTATTCAGGAATTCTCTTCTGTGATTTAGAAAGTCAGGTAGCAAATGCTGCATAGACTGAAGTGCAATTGACTTCCTGTAAACACAGCAGAATTATTGGTGAGTTAGGCATATTTGAACGTCCTTGACCATCTTTCTCCTTTTGTGTTTCATGTGTTCTGGCTTACCCTAATTTATTAAGAAAATTATATTATTGTAAATATTTTCCCCACCTATTTCAATCTGCTAATAATCCCAAAGAGGTGTGCTGCAACAGTTAAAATATTAAGATTTTTCATATTTAGCTCAGTTCAGCCCACAGTGAGGCAAAACTCCACTGAAGCTGAAGGTTTTCTGCAAGACTAGAAGATGAAGAAACATTATGTGGCATAGCTGAAGGAGTAACTGTATTTTTTTCTCGTGAAGAAATGAAAATGATATATTCCATCTGTAAACCACTGTAAACCTTTATGGTGCCCAAGGCAATCACTGTCATTGCTGCTCTGTATCATTCATGTAAATTTGAAGTTGTCCAAACAAATTGACTGGTCCACGCTTGCTCTGTTCAAATAGCTACTGTTCCAAACTGGAGTGGTACTTTCCAACACCATTTAGGATCTTGATTTTTTTGGAGAGTGAGAAAAAGTGAAAAGAGTCCCTTTGAGCAATAGAATAATTTGCCATGAATGTCGCGGATAAATGGAGTTAAAACCACTGAGATTAAAGGTCAAATGAACAGCTTTTGCAGTTTAGATCTGTATTTCTAAGCAATAATCTTCCTAAGCACAAGGATGATGGTCAGTTCTTGTAGCTGTGATAATGACTAATTATTTTAATGGCACTTGTATTAACAGGAGAGTCAGACAAAAGGTTAATGAGATAATGAGGCCCCATTGATCACAAAGATCTAATGTGAACGTTCAGTGAAAACAATGTAATTGGATTTTAAATTCTTTCCTGAGTTCCACTGTGTAAATCTAGATATTTTCAGAATAAAATATTTATATATTGTACATTGACTAGTTTGCAAATATTATATGTATATAAAATGTCTATGTATTTTTATTTTAATCTTAAAACCTTTAGGACTTTTTTTTTAGTTTTGAATTGCCTCATACAGTACTAAAGAATAATTAGCTTTCTTTGAAGTCTTAACAATACATATAATCAGCAGTGTAAAAGGTGTTTTATAGTGAGAAGATTCAGTCTAATCTTACACAAATAATATAACGAACATTGTCTGCCATATTATAATAAGTTCATATTTAACCCTTTTTCATAGAAAATGGAATCAAATGCCCTAAAATAAAAGCTGTAATGGTACAGGAGCAATTGTTTCATTAAACAATGCTAGTTATTAGCATTTACATAATACTTAAAACTTTAAGTGTATAATTTTGTGACTGTGTGATTCTGAGATTACATCTGAGCCTGTTAGTTTGATCCACCCTTTCCCCTGTCCATATCTGGTATTGATATTAGTTCCATCAGGTATTTTTCCTTTAATGTAGTTGACATGAGAGGTCATAAACTCCATGAATTAGGAAGTTTGTTCTCAAGTAGTGATAGGTATGTGTGATAGTCTTAGTATCACTGAAGACAAAGAGGAGCTATATAATTCCATCTCCTGTAAAATGTTTATAATATCAGCTCTGTAATTTGTTCACTAAAATCTGTCTTTACCTGATTTGTATTTCAGAATGATGTGTGTTTTCCCTTATGCTTGTTTATTAGCCTCTGTCTTTTTTCCACGGCAGCCATTCAAAAGTTCCTAGAGGAATGCTGGCAGAGTTCTTCCAAAACAAAGCAGTAAATAGTGGTCAGAGCAAAAAAATTGTAACAAACCCAGATATTCTTGTAATATGGGTAGTTGTATTTTTTAGGGGGTCATCTATCTCTAAAATGCCATTTGATAATATTAATATATTCAATTAGCCACTTATATATTAATATTCAGCTATTTAAGATAACAGACAACTGCGTCAAGTTAGTTGAAAGAGCAGATTTGCATAATAAACCAAGATTCTTTCCTTAGATTTATGTTATTGCTTATGATATTTTGAGTGTTAAAGAAGCATTTTTAATAATGATTACTCTTTCTTGTTATTACTGTTCTGAGGATTAAATGAATTGTGACCCAAAAATATCTAGAAAGTTCATGTTCTCTTTTTAGCTTAATATTTTTCAAGTTACAGATCTATGCTGTCTGTAACAAGAGATGCTAATATTGATCATGAGGACAATTATAGACATGATACTTAGATGAGTGTCTATATATTTTTTTAAACTCAGTTTTTCTATTTTGTAAGCATATTCATTTCATTTCTGAAAAGGTGTTTCTAGACAAAAATAAAATGTCTTTAGTCATATTACAACCAAACATTGAGACTAACTTCAAATCCAAACTTGCTCTGGAAATGATATGAGTTTATGGTGTATGTCACAGATTAATTTACTATATATTTGTAGCTGCAATATGACTTTTTTTCCCCCCCTTTTTATGTATAAACAATGTTATCCTATTCGCTGAGCTTGGATATTCACCATATTTGGAACCAACAGTCTCACATGACTCTTTGAACCAAGTAATAAGGGATGTAGGCTTCATGTTACATACATGATTCTGCTAAATACAATCATGCAATGTTGTCTTCTCTCCCCTCCCTTTTCAACCTTTGTAATGGCCTCTCCCTTATAAAGTATGCCTCTTTAGATTAAGACATTAGAATATACCACTTTGAAAATCCGCATGAACAGTCACAATATTTCTGTACTTAAAATTTGCTTTTGGCTAATATTTATGGTCAGTTACACAAAAAAAGTGTTTGACATGAACTCGAAGTATTTACATCAAACTTGTCATATCAAATAATTTTTTTAGACTAAGCCCACACTGCACTATATTTGAATTGCCTGCGTGCCTCAGTTGCAAGGTTCTTGGGGCATATTCAGGTAGGCTCCAGGATAATTTGAACTTAAAAAAAGAAATTACAAAACAAAATTGGAAAACTTCCTTGTCTAGGTAACATATCAGACACAGAGTTCCTGAGGAAAGTGAGAAATGTCAAGAAACGGAAGAAATGTAGGGCAAGAAATAAACCCTAGTGTCATGCAAGTACCCGTGTGTCTGGGAAAACACTGCTAAAGGGAACAGGACATACAAAGAATTAGGGGACAGTAGAAGAAAACTCAGACCCACTTTCACTTGAGCAGGTCCTCACCTTGACATCTCCTAACCCTTGAGTAGTTAATTTAGCAACAGTAGCATCTTGTGATGTAGGTTTTGACTGTTGTTTAGGAAGTGTTAGATTTCAGTTTTAATCTTTTCTAAAACTTTTCTAAGAATAAAGTTGCTCCAAAAATACCATCTACCTTCTGCTCAAGCTAAACTAAGATATTCCTTTTTCTATACAATGAAAATTCTCCAAGATTGGACTGTTAGAAAATTCTCTTCACACACACTGAAGACCGTTAAGGTGTGGTAGTTAAATAGTTAACAGACACAAAACTGACACAAAATCTTCTAGGTATTCAGACTGCAATGTATTGCATTGCTTTGCTATTGGTCCTAAGAGTTTTTTGTGTTGTTAAGGTGTTTGAGAGTGTTAAGTGATGGCAATCCTGTCTCTAAGGAGATGGAGCTTATTGCTCACCTTGAGGGAAAGTGGAGAAATAAACTGTTTGGCTTTGACGCAGTAGGAAATCTTCAACATGGGGTAGGCTGCTGAAGGACCTTCTGTCAAGAAATGCTGAATGGGACAGACATGAAAATCAGACCCTAGGAAGCATGAGGCAGAGTAAGCCTGGAAGTTGAGATGCCAAAACAGACTCAGGCCATCTGAGCATGTAGTCAAGTGGGGCTGCGTGAGGAGCACAGTAGGGATGCAAGGTCTCCATATAGAATACACATCCTTTGAGAGAGAAGTGGAGGAGGAACAGGAATGGGAATGTCTGGCTTGAGATGAAAAGTAGAGATCTGCATCTATAAAAGCAAAGTCCCTTTCAGAAACTCGATAAAAACCTTAAATCCCTGATTTTTATAAATTCTTGCTTTCAGCTGGTAGTCTAAGCAACTAGCAGCCATAATTCTCACATTTTTATCCTTCTTCCCTGCTCTCTTATATTTTTGCAGTTTGCTTGTTGGAGTTAGGTTTAATTTTCTGTGTATATTATTTTAGAAGACCCTCGTCTCTAACTGGGTTTAAAATACCCTGAAACCTGCTGATTTTTTGCATCCTGAGATAAAGTGCATTTGTGTATTTCTTGCAGTGTAGAAGTTGGAGGCATTTCTGTGTTCTAATAAGACAACATACCAGGACATTTCTAGTAAACAGTTGGATAACATTTGAAAATATGCAGTCTTGTTCCAAAAGAGGCAGTTAATTTTTTATCTTGTTACCTTCTTTCTCTATCAACTGATACTTCATCCTCTACACAGCTGTGTTTTGTGACACCAGCTAAGTATTCCACATTTTTCAAGCTGCATTAAACACAACTTTGGGAAATAGGAAATATGCTTCTTTAACTTTCTTTACTGTTATTTTTTTTATTTTATTTTTGGAACAACCTCAAGCAAGTTCTCTATATATCTAATTAAAGATAAGATCAATAATTATTCATCTAAATAAAATTACACAGCAGGAGTTTTTCATCTTGCTAATCACTAACTACTAATAGGAATATTTCCCCTGTGATATCATATGCCCTCTCTCTGCCAAAGCTGATGAGCGGTGTGTAGTAGATTTTTAGTTGGTAAGCATATACTGCATGCAGCAAGTTTCCAAAGCTAGAAAAAGTGTTGTCAGGAATTCTTATATATTGCTTATAGTGAAACCTGGAAAAGTAGTCTTATAAATATTCTGTTTAATATCTTCATTAATGATCTGGATGATAAGACCACGATGTACCTTCAGCAGTTTTGCAGATGACACTAAGCTGGGAGGAGTGGCAGAAACCTCATGAAGTTCAACAGAGAGAAGTGCAAAATCCTGCTTCTAGGGAGGTACAACCCCATGCATCAATATATGCTGAAGGCCACCCAGGTGGTAGGCAACTTGGCAGGAAAAGACCTAGGGCTCCTGTTGGACACCACATTGAATATGACCCAGCAATGTGCCCATGTGGTAAAGAAGGCAAATGGTATTCTGGGAACAGGAGGTTCTGTCAGAACATCAGGAAATACTTCTTAGTGTAGGGGTAACTGAGCACTGGCACAGGTTGCCCAGACAGGTCTTAGTGTCTCCCTCCTTGGAGATATTCTACAATTTAGATATTGTCCTGGACAACTGGCTCTTTAGTGACCCTGCTTGAGCAGGGGAGCTCAGACAAGGTTACCTCTGGTTGTCCCTTTCAACTTCAACCATTACGTGATTCTGTGATTACATGTTTTATACAGGTAAGATGGATTGCTGATAAGTGTTTTTGAGAGAGGGGGAAGGTGGAGATGAGTGTTAAAGAAAAGTTTTGTAAGATAAGACAATTAACATCTCTGTTTCACATTATAACTGGCTGATTGTAAATTAGTCATTTTATAAAGAAATTTAAGGGGAAAAAATCCTATTACTCAACCCCAAACTATTGAACTAGAAATCAAGCTTTTTTCATTGGTAACAGAGGCAGTAACAAGAGTTTTTCCCTCACAGAACATTCTTTCTGCTTTATAAACTCACTGTGACAGAGTTCAGCATTGAATGTCACTGCATAACCTAATATCACAACTGTGCATTGCCCTGTTATAAATAGCTACAGGAGCCTTTAGGATTGCCTGTAATTGTTTTTCTTAAAATGAAGACAATACTCTTCTCCACTAAATTATAGTTTTTTCCTGCCTTCAGTTCCACCAGTCATCCGAGTCTATCCAGAGAGCCAGGCAAGGGAGCCAGGTGTGACAGCTAGCCTTCGGTGCCATGCTGAGGGTATTCCCAACCCACAACTTGGTTGGCTGAAGAATGGAATTGATATCACTCCGAAGTTATCCAAACAGCTAACTCTTCAAGGTAAAGGGGCATATTTATTGTTTTCTACAGGCTGAAAATTCCTTATCATTGTGTCCTTTCTGTACTATCTGTCCTTCTTACATAGTTTTAACCAAGGCTTGAAGTCTGAGCTAAAATATTTCAGAGGATATCTTCCAGTTGCTCCCCAAGACACATATCTACTGTTTTCTCATTATAGAATAATGGTTGCACTTACTGCAGGGCTACCAATGATTTTTCTATGCAAAAATGTTTAGTTTCTGAGTAGAGCATGCAGCCCAACACGCAGTCCCAACCCAATATTAGGATTTGTCACTACAACTATATTAATGCCATTCAATGAGTATCCAACACCGATATTTAAATTGGGAAGCAATGCTTTTGTCTGTAAATATTTAATTCTAATACATTGATGTTAATCTAGTTGTTTTTCATGATTCTAGATTTAAATTTAGGTCAGAACACGAACAAAACTTTACTTCAGCTCAACTGAAAATAAGTTTTTTTGACTGATAAGAATCTCAGTGAAGCTGAATTTGAATGAATGGTGGAAAGGGACACTAGGAGAAATATCTGAAGTGGATGTGCTGTTTTCTGAGTGGTCTCAGCAGAGCTCTGAGAGCAAAGATACTGTACATAAGGAAAAACAACCCATGACTACAGGAAAGTCTTAATTTTAATCAACAATAAAGGGCAGTCTGTGAATCTTCTATGTATCTTCAGGGCTCAGCAAATTGCATGAACCTGCCCAGCACAAAACCTAGCTTCTTCAGTCCTTCTGGTGATTTTTGTTCAGCTTTGGAAAAAAAATAACCTCACGATGCCACTGTTACCTTTCAAAACATCTCTCATTCATCTACAAAACAAGGAGGTGTGTTAGGGTAGGATGGCAATCAGGCTGCAGTGTAAGAAACAGCAGGACAGCCAGACAGCAAGTGCTTCTTTGAAGAGTGTCTTACCTTCCCTATCGGTGTCGTAGTAATCTGTTCTTTCATGGCCATCTGCCCTGGATATATGTGAACAATTGCATAGTATAAACATGTTCCACTCTGAGTAGCAAGTGATGGATTCCACTTCCACAGCAGCATTCTGTTAATTTCTCCTGTAGGGATTTGGCTGAATTTCTTACCCCCTACCACTATATTTTATATTGATAATAAATAAATAAGAATAGCTCCTCACTAAGCAAAATACATTTAGTTCTGTTTTCTTGAATATATTTATATGAAGTAAAATTTTGAAAATCTCATTGCATTTTTCCTAAGTTAAACTATCTGTGCATTAGCTTCAAGCAAAATACTGTCTAGAAGGAATGTTACACCATAACCCAGTGGCCCTTCTAGTCCATATTTTAGAATACTTACGAACCTGTTTTCATAAAATAGATCCCACAGTTGAACAAGAATGCTGGACTTAAAATGCAATGAAACATTGGTAAAGTCGCTATTCATATCACAATGTTTAAAAGACCTTTGCCTGTGAAACTTGGACTGTTTATTGATGTCCCTACTCAAGCTGACATACAACACATGAAGTGGTTTCCACATTCTCCTGCACTGATGTAGGTTTAAAATTCCATGCACATCCTTTTTCTGTTGTTACACTGCATTCGCACAAAAACAAAAACCAGGTGCCTCTGGTTACTATAAACTGATACTTTTATTAAGTTATTATTTATGTTGAAATTTTAGCCCAGTATGTTCCATGGAAACCTGGATTTTTTTGCATAAAGCCAGCAGTGTTGTCAAGTGACCAAATGCAACATACTAAAACCATAATATTTACCTGATTTAGAAGGCAACTACAGTAATTTAAACATGTATAAAACCTCAGGCTGGTATTTGGCTCTAAAGTGCAAAAACATATGAAGTATTCCAGATACCTGTGGAATGAGTAATAGTGCATGTAATCCAAAGGTATTAAAAGGTATTAGTTTGGCATATCTCCAAGTTATGAACTCAAGTGTGAAAATGGTTTAATTAGTATGATCTGAGTGAGCCTTGTGAATGTATAATCTGCAAGAATTGTACTATGTCTGCATGTTGAATTTTTCCTCTATTTTCAGCAAATGGCAGTGAGGTTCACATTAGCAATGTGCGCTATGAAGATACAGGAGCCTATACCTGTATTGCAAAGAATGAAGCGGGGGTGGATGAAGACATTTCCTCTCTTTTTGTAGAAGATTCTGCCCGAAAGACCCGTAAGTATTATGAGAAGTATAAAAATACATGTTGCTATTAAAAACTATGAAATATAAAATAAAATAAAATTACTATGTATAGGTTCTTTATTAAAAAAAGAAGTTTAAATAATTATGTCCAAGAGCCACCAAAGGCAGTAATCTGAAATTTTTTTAGAAGTTGGATGAAATATCTGATTCTGTGAATTGACATATTTTTCATATTGCTGCTAAAATTTGGATGGTTTCCTCATGATAGATTTGTTGCATATGAAGGGAATATGAAGAGATAGAAGAACCAGATGCCTAAATAAGGCAAAGCAATGTGGTTTCTGGAGTTGATGGGGGTGTGGGAGGAAGACCTTTTCCAGTTTTTCTTCCTGTGTGCTCTTGACCTATACCAAGAGTCAAACTTGGTCCTCATGATCACAGTACTTGGCCTTGCCTGCTGGAGTTTTCGGCAGATTCAGGTCACTTCCAGCCTGCCCGTGCTGTTTTGTGCCGTGATAACTGTGACTTCCCAGAAGTGTGAAGCAATGACCACATTCACTTGCAAAGTTGGTAGTTCAATGTGCCAAAGAAATCTCTGCCACTATTGAAAAGTAGCTTTCTTTATGCCCTGTTGAATGGTAGTGGGGCTTATAAATCTTTTTACCTGTTTCTTTTCTGCCTTGATAATTCTTTCCTCTTCCCTTTCTCTCCTCTGCTCAGAAAAATCCATTCCTGAGTTTATACCTCACTCATCTGTTTTTGCTGGTTTTTTGTCTTTTAAATTTGTTATTTTAATGAATGCTGCATATTAATTAGGAATAGATCTAGTAAAATGATAGCTAATTTACTAGTCAGTCTGATTGCATTAGCTTAAGGCATTCGTGTTTATCTAGAAGCTTATTCAATAGTGGTAAGTACTTGACAGAAGATACTAGAGGCAGAATTAGTAGCTCTGCAAGTCTGCCTGACACTTCCTGTCGTAAAACACTAAGTTCACTTACATATAGTTTTATTAAACTTTAAAAATTTCAGAAGAAATTTTCCATGCAAGAAAATTCTATAATCCAAATGGTAATATCTTTACTTAACTGCTTTCAGCAGCACTAATTATAACTGTCATTTCAAAAGTCTTAGCATGTGGTTTTTTTTTTAATTGCCATGAAAATGACTGCTCAGACATTTCTGAGAAGGCAGCTGAGGATAAATAAGCTGTTTGAACATGCTGAATCTCTAGTAATCTGGTGATACGAAGGAACTCGGTCACCTCCATTTGCCTTTTGCAGTCTGTGAAAAATGTTGTGAAAGTTGACAAATTATAAAATCCTGACAAACAAGAATTTGTTTATGCATGGTTAAGACTTGTTTGCCCATAACAACAAAGCACTTATGTGCAACTGTCCTGTTTCCAAATATGTTAGTTACATAATGGTGTCCTCTGAAGACCTCATCTCCACTGATTATGTAGGAATAGCCACACCTCTGTAAAACAGTGTTTTCAGAAATTGTGATGTGATGCAATAATTGTAGATCAGCTTACTTTACAGGATTTTTAAACTCACATGCTATGCAGTGAACACTGCTTGCAACAAATGCTTGAATATCTTCTAGCACTAAATTATTACGATGGCCATTGGTGTCATGAAAGATGTAGATGAGGTAAAACAGATTATAAACCAAATTAAATAATTAATTCTAAAAACACAATCTCCTTCCTTCCTATAAAATTAATTTACTCTGCAAGTTCCATGTTGTACGTTGAAGAGAGATGTTTTACCATTCCTTGATGTCTGAACATGCTTTCCTGAAAATTGGTGGATACACATATAGTCCATAGATGTGTATTTACATCATTCAAATATAGGTGCAAGAGGTGTTTACATGAAATGCGTACTCTGGTACTCTGATTTGGTTGCCTCGGCTCAGAAGCTCATTTCTGTACATGCAAGAGGACTAAGGTATATCCTAGTAAAACAAATTGCTCTCCATATCATTATAGTAACTACATTAATAAACTGCTTTCACAAGTACAAATTCGATAGATACTGTTCAGATGAATGCTTCTGTTTAAAAAAATAAGTCACTTCAGAGGGAGGAGTTGCTAGCATTAAAAAACTGAAATTAAGAGTGGAAAGGCTTTGTTATTAACTCTTCTCTGCTTGTTTTTATGTTCCACCCACACCACTGTTTCATGCAGCAAATTTGGGATTATTAGAGCAGAAAATGACATAGGTAAAAGCACCTGGATAGGACTGAGGACTTTTGTTTCCCTGCCCACACATTTCAAACTCAATGATGCTCTTACTGGGTATTCTTTAAGGTCCCTTCCAAGCCAAACCATTCTGTTTCTACTTTAATTTAAAGCCTGCTGATTAGGTCTAAAGATCTCTGGTGATGTAAATGTGCTTTAATGTGATCTGATATAAACTATACCTGTCATAGATTAAATTTTTAAAAATAATTTTGCTTTTGTCCTCCTTTAAAAGAATAAATCAGATGTGTTTGCTTCTTTAAAAAAAAAATCATCTTACTGGAGTACTGTGTTCTAAAAATATCAGGATATTGATTTGAACAAAAGTAGAACATGTTCTCACCATCTTGTCAGTTAGTCTGGGCTTCTCTTCTTTTTAAATGTCACACAAGGTAAAAATCATAGCAAAATTAAATTTTTTCAGAACATGGAATTGATTTGCTGTTGACTAGTGAGAACTTTTACAGTGGAGCTCTAAAATATTAACTGCAATTGCACTGCATTGAGCATGACAGTGATTTTATAAGTCAATGAATAGAGAGTATGGTTGCATTTTTATCAGTGTATGTATTTTTTATTGCTAGAAAGTTTAATAGTCAAAGAAAATGTTCACTTTTGCACTTATCTGATCCATTGTTTATGTGCATATGAAAACATTTAGGTTTTAATGCTACTTTGTCTGCTAACCAGAATTTTTATTAGTTATCTGTGAAATCTCATTTTCAGCACATCCCAAATTTGTTGAGTGGAGAACTCAGGGCAGTGCTTTGAGAAAAATGTGATCTATGTAGCAGAAAGGGCATGGCTAACTAATTCCTTTGGGGATAGTAGCATAAACAGCTCCTGAGAGAAAATCTGTTTTCTGGCACCTCTGCCTAACTTAAAAACAGTGTCATTAGGAATAAATAGATTAGAGAGGCATTTGTTTGCCTGTGTGCCTAAAATATTATGATTGCTAGGTTTTCAAAATTCACAGCTTTGGTTATGAAAGCATTTAGTGCATGTGTCTGTATTATAAACAAGAAAAAAAAAATGTTTTCATTTTGGCATTGTATCAGGTGGCAAGAATTAAGTTATTTTCTTTAAAATACCTTAATTTCAACTTTGTTTTTTGCCAGTTAACTCATTCTGTAGCTGAAATTTTATATACTTAACATTTGTGTCGAAATACATGTGGCCTTTTTGATAGATTGATGATGTTGTGGGGGAAATTTTAATTTATATTAACTATGTAAGCATCTTTTATAAGTACAGTTGATGAATGTCTGGTACTGTCTTTTATCAGATCCTATTTTCATTTATCTGATTTCAACCATTTAGATTGGAGTATTCTGTTATTGCTGTCTTAAGCAAGAGCTTTTTTACTTGCTCTTAATTTTTCATGTTTCTGCTAATATACCATGGCCACTCCTGAAACAGATGTGAGGAAGAAAACATGATTTTATTCATTTTAAAAATACTATAGTAACTTTACTGAAAGCTTTTTACAGCACAATCTGGGACTTGATATTGGTGGTTCATGCAGCTGGATTATCACTAGAACATACTGCACTAAAAATAATTCTTTCTCCAGTGTTTGACACTGGAGTGAAAATTTCCAAGCAATCAGTGATTTTTATAGTGAGTGGACACTTGTAGGGAGTTTGGTAGAGTTCTGAAGATGCCATTTGCACTCAGCAGACCCAGGCTTTAGAACTACCAGAATTTTCTTTGCTCTGTGGGCTTTTGTAGATGTGAAAGTGAGGATAGCTTTCTTCTTGTGCTTTTGGATTTTCTTGGCTCCTTGAGTGGTCCTCCAACAAGTATCCAAGGAAAGACAGGAGGAATAAGACTGAATAAAACAGAAGTAGTGAAACAGCTCTGGGGAAAGGAACGATGGAAGAGAACAGTAATATGAAGAAGGCAGGGAGGGCACAGGCAGTAACAGGTGAAAGAGGACAGGTTAGAACACTGAAGGAGAAAGAATGAGAGGAAAAAGAGATCAGAGCACAAGGGCTAAATGGCCTCTTAAAAACTGCATAATAATCCTCTGTAAGAACCGGAGTACGTCCAGGAGTACCTAGTCACTTTTGTGTCTTGTCATTAAGTTTCTGTGATAACACAGCAACAGTGTGCATCTTATACCACTGCCCCTTTTTAATCTACATGGAGAATAATACTACTTCTATTACCAAAAAATAAGAGAGATATATAAGAAAACTGAAGTTTCTAGTGTTCTAGTAAGTGGAACATTTTATTTAACTTGCCTTTTTAAGTAAGACAGCATATTGAAGTATAACTGTGTATTAAAGGAAAATCGCAAACATGAATAAAATCAGTCAAAAAGAAGCTTTGTAGGTAGAAACAGTCTGTAGTGTGAGCTAAATTTGATAACATTTATTTATCTAGTTGTTCATGTATCATTTTGACCATTTTGTGCAGAAAGAAATTGTGTTCTCCCATCTACGTGTCTAAATTCAGTTTTACTTATTAAACTCTCAGTAATTCTTCTTAAGACTTTGAAGTATCTAGCTTCTATGTCAGACCTGAAGAAGGGCTAGTGTGTGTGAAAGCCTGTCTGCTTTTTCCAACAATATCAATTCATTTAGAGCCAGTTGTGAAAAGCTTAACTGTCTTCTTGAAAACCTCTGTGTAGGTGTTGGAAGGTCACTATTTCATACAAATGTAAAACTTTTTTTGTTTGTTTGTTTTGTTTACTTTCCCACTAGTTATTTATATTTTATGTATTAATTAGCATCCTAGATCCATAAAGAAAACAAACATTCTAATTATTTCTGTATTT